CTAGAAAATGAAAGATAAAATTTTGCCTTAAAATCTTATTTCAAAACTTTACCTTGACTTGGATGCTTACCTCAACTGGATATTAGAAACATCATCTAGGGACAATTCATGTTGATAGCATATTATAAAATAAAATAAAATAAAAACAAATAGAAGAAGAAGAAGAAATTAGAGAAACAATGCAAATAAATGTGATATTTTTATTTTTTTCCTTCAGCACATTATTTGCAAAAATACAAGTCCCATATATAGCTTAAATGGGTAATACGAGTTACAAAAATTAATCATTACTAAGTGATGAATATAAAATTTATTCATCTATTGAGCAACAAAGAGAGGAGTTACATTGGTGGAATTTAATCACCATTATTATTCCATTAAAAAAAATGAGAAGTAAGAAAGATAAAGAGTGGAAGGTGAAATATCCTCAAAAATAAATTTGGTTCATAGCACTTCATTAATTTTAATTAAACCATCCAAATGAGAGGAGGGGAAATGGCTTCCACTCCATTTCTCATGATCTAAACATAATCTTTGTGTTTTCAAAATAATGGACAGGACAATCACAAGGGTAGGATTTATTGGTAAATAATTAGTTTTTTTATAAATTAGGTTTATAGTTCAAGTTTTGGAACTAACCACAAGTAAATTAATTTCTTTAAGAGCATCAAACTAATGTAAGAGTGTGTTTTTAAGATTGCTCGAAGAATAATTAATTTCAAAATATGTAAAAACTAAAAGAAAAAAAACAACGTAACAGTAAAAAAGAAAGGATACGACCCCTTGTAATTATCTTCATCAAGTAGTCTATTTAAAGTACCACATCCATTCATATTACACCTTGATACCCAGGCGCGTATTAGAATCGATTCTGCATTTGGCTCGTTTATAACAAAACAGAGGCAAATAGTGGTAGGCCAGCTATGGAAAATTCTAACATCTTTGGGTTCCATCATAAACAAAGCTAGTGGAAGACAATGATGCATTAAGTCAAAGAAACGCAACCCTGCAGAATCTTATTCCTTTCTTTTGCAACTAACAAAGATAAGCATATGCAAAATACTGGAGCTTGGAGAGAGAGAGAGAGAATCACATCATGCTTTAATTAGCTTTACCAAGGAAAAGAGAACGCATGAAAAAGATAGGAATTATGAAATTCTTGAGAACCCTAGGTAAAGAATCTACAAAAGCTATGATATGTAAAACAGAAACCCAGACCACTCTCACAAACACATAAGTATTCAATCTCAAAGGATCTCTGTTTCATTATATTTCTGCTAATCAATCAACACAACAGCATGAGCAGGGACACCGATAGATACAGGGGCCTGATCAATTGGCGGCAGCCTGGCTATAACTATGGTGCTAATTATGCCAATGATTCAAGCTACAGCCAACCAGTCCTATCCCGTCCTCTTTCCTTCCATGCTCCTGCTCTGGTAAGCTTTATTTTCTTTATATTTTCCAAAAGTTAGAGGATGTTGGATTTGAAGAAAATAGAAAAGAGGGAAGAAGTTTTCTTTAATTATTTATTTTATTTTCTTGTTAATTTTAATCTATTGGTCTAAAGGAGATGATATTGGGGGGGAGGGGGTTAAGGAGAGTCCTCCTCCCTTTCCTCTTATTTCCCACGTACCAAATATACTTTAATTTTATAATACCACTTGTTTAAGGGAAAATTTCTTGTAAGTTGTTAGGAAAGTTTTCTTGCAACGTGAGTATCTTTTATAGAGAAGTTTTGTTTAAATTGCTAATTTTTTCTATGTTGCAAAAAAGTTTATATTATATTTACTTGAAAATAAACTTGTAAAATGAGTTTGTTAGTGAATTTGTTATAAGAAATGAGAGGAAATGAGAGGAAATGAGAGAAAATGAAAGCAGAACAAACTTGACATGCTTGTTGCTCTTGTGTAACCATATGTTGAATTAAAAGGAATAGAGAGGAGGGAAAGGGAGGAGAAGGAAATTGGTCCATTCCTCTTTTTTCCTTTCTCTTCATTTGAATACATAAATAAATTAAAAAAAAATAAAGTAAATGAAATTATTTTCCTCTTCTCTCATTCATTCATCTTAACCCAAATATACTATAAAGGTCTCCTCTTTTGCAACATAAATGACTATATTAAATTGCAAAATAAAAATTCCTAGAAAATGGATAAGGAGACCCTAACAATATCAGGCCCCTATAGATTAGCTTAAGTTGTATACTCTATATTACACCTCAATTTTTTTTTTTTTTAAATTCATCAACAGTTTTTGGTATGCTGCTGATAGAAAATATGTTGTACTCCTATAGTACGCAAACACAAAAGATCCATTATTTAAGCATCCTTGTTATCCATTGTCTATTTTCAAAAAAAAAAAAAAAAGTCATCTTTGTGTAAATTGTTTCAAGAAGCATTTTTAACTTTCTATCAAGCAAACTTTAAAATACATTAAAGATTTTAATAAAAAAATGATTGATATTAATTCAATTCAATATATTTATTAATATCTACTAGTTTATCTATTTAAATTTAAAATTTTAAGTTTTTTTTTTTAATTTTAATTTAAATTTAAAAATAATAATTTTTTAATAAATATATTATGAAATATATTAAATAAAAAGTGTATGCATAAGTGTCTTTTAATAAAATGCTAGCACTTTTATGTTTTTAGTATTAAAGTGGGTAAGAATTAAAATATTTAAAAAGAATATTAAAACATTTCGAACCATCTCAAAGAGGAAAACTTTTTATATTTATCTCAAAATATAAATAAGTGATAATTTTTCAGCTTCAGGATGGAGGTAGCAGCTGGGGTGCAACGGACCCAAGGCAGACGCACGGCGAGTGGGGAGTAACCAGACCTTTCAACTTTCCAGGGTATATATATTTGCTTTGCCTTTTCAAGTAGATTTCGAGTAAGCCCCTAAAATTTAAACTAATTCCTAATCCTGGCAATTTTTCTGTTCCATTCGACCTTTTAAAATTTTCATGTTGATATTGTTTCATTAATTTCAAGTACAATTAAACAAATTTAATTAAAGGGTTTTAGATTTTCAAGACGTTTTAGCATATCAAAACATCCATAAAATCATTCATCACATGGATCTCATATTGCGAGTAACGTGATTGACGATGTGATGAAAATCTTAAGATTTCTTGATTTTTTATTTTGTTTTTAATTAATTAAATTTAAATTATACTTTTTCAAGTCTTTTTAATTGTTTGAATCCTTTAACTTTATGTAAATTAACTTAATAATTTTATATAACAAATAAATGATAATTAAAATATTTCTTTGATTTAAATAAAATACTCAATAAGAAATATGTATAAATTTTTTAATTATTATTTATTTATTATATAAAATTATTTGATTAGATTTTAATTAAGAATCAAATTATAACAACAAAATCTAATTAAAAAGAGTATTAATTAAAATCCTAGTTTCTTCTTTCAAATTACTTGCTCTGTTTGCCTATTTATCTACCCAAATAAGTAGCTCTCAATTAACCAGTGATGATACTCTTACATGGTACAAAAATAACAGTTTAAATTTTTTTATCAAGTAAAATTAACTATTTAACAAAAATTATATATTGAAACAAAAAAATTCCTACCTTAAAGTATACATTTAAAGTTACATGCAAAGTTAATTAAGAGTCATATATACAAATAAATAGGAAGTAGTATTATATTAGTTTATCTAACCAAACACGACCTGCTATGTATTACTAAAATGGTGAAATCTTCAGCTTCTTCGAACAACAACGTTCCCCAATTCGAGTTGTGGTGCATGAAAATGGGCTGGTAAGAGAGGTAAATCCCAGCCGTAGGCTGGAGCCTCGGTATAGGGCGCAACAAGAAGATTATTCTTCTTCTAGACTGACAAAAGATGAGCAAAAGGAGGCACTGAGCAAACTAAGGAAGGAAGTCTACAATCCAACCCCCGAGAAGATGACAAGGAGACTAAACCTCTACTATAGAGGAAGTTACAACGGTGAAGAAGAGAAGGCGAAGGAAAAAGACGATGAGGAAGGGAAGAGGTGTGCGGTTTGCTTGGAAGATTTTGTGGCCAAGGAGGTAGTGACGGTCACTCCTTGCAACCATATGTTCCATGAGGAATGCATCGTGCCGTGGGTGAAGAGCCACGGCCTGTGTCCTGTCTGTAGGTCTGTGATCAGTGATAGAGCCCGGGAAAGCAGGGTAGGAGCTCCTCGAGAGGTTGTGAATTTGGCAGCCAGTGATCTGTTTGCTAGCGAGTTGATTTCCATCATAAGAACCATGGAGGAGGCTTTCTTGTGGACCAATAACCGCTGAGATGTAATATTAGTGGTGTCCATCGAAGTTATATATCTATCAAATTGTGTCACTCGCTCAGTTAATTGTATTACTTTTTTTTTTTTTGGTTCAATTTTAATAACTCTAGTTTTTATTTTAATCAAATAAAATTTTAATAATTTATTGAAAAAAAATTTATATTTATTTTTAATTAATTATTATTTAAATAAGTTTTTTTATTTAATATTGATAGAAAAAAAGAAAAAGAAAAAGAAAAATATAAAGATATATGAAGGAAAAAACTATTTCTTTTTTAATTTCATTAAATATATAAAGTGCTTATTTATAAGTCTGTATAAGAGAATATTTCATGGTACAAAATTAATTAACCTAATTATATCAATCAATTATAATGTGAACCCAATTAACATAATTATAATATAAATATTCTGTAACATCACCTCAAACTCAAGATGGTGATATGACCAGCTTCAGTTTTGGAAAAAAAGAGTGCGGAAGCGTCCAAAAAAGTGAGTTTTTGGTGAAAAAAATTTAAATATGCAGATCAGTGTAGTCGACGTCGTTGGAGGAGAAGGAGGCAATGTCAAATCTAGGCAATAGCAATGTTGAAAGTTCAATTGTAAGAAATTAAGAGCAAAATCAACGACAATTGGATGCGAGAAGGTAGCTAGAGCAACATTGACCGTGGGAGTAACAAGTATTGCCAGCACAACAAAGGAACATGATAAAAAAAACCCAGTTGTAAATAAGTCCAAGAAAGAAAGCAAAGAAGATGATTGGCACTACCTACAAGCAAAGTAGCAACTCACAAAGGAGATGAACAGTAATAATAAAAAAGACCTCAAGACTTTGATACCATGATAAAAAAAATAAAGAGAAGAAAAATATAAAGATATATGATTTCTTTCTTAATTTCACTAAATCTACAAGATACTTATTTATAAGCTTATAAAGAGAATATTTTATGATACAAAATCAATTAACCTAATTATATTAATCAATTATAATATGAACTCAATCAATATAATTATAATATGAATATTCTGTAATAAATATTATTTGTTATAATTATTATTTTAAAATAAAAATAAAATAAAAATAATTACATTATATGAAATATTCAAAAAAATAAATAACTAAATTTAAATAACTCAAATTAAAAATTATAACTCCAGTAAAGTTGAATAAAAAAAATATTAACTTTAATCACTACTGTAAAGTTTTTTTGGCCATACTTTGTTTAAATTCGTAACACTACATTTGTTTTTGAGCAATTAGGGATTGTGTGAATATATTATAACAATAAAATTTATAAAAGTTTAGAATTTATTGTTAAATCTAACAAGGTAAATTTTTTAAATACATTAGTTAACACCTTAAAATTATTTTAAAAAAATTAATTTTAAAATGTATAAAAATTAATCTGTAGATATTTGACATAAATACTAAAAAAATAGTAAAATTTTTCATACCACTGCTAGAGGAAGGTAAAATTACATTACAAAAAACAAAAATAAGTGACATAGGTTGCCTTGTTAAGTTTTTCCAACGTTAAATTCAATCTTTAACATAAATTATGTTAATGAATTGATTGGAAACCAATGTGGTAAACGTTGCTATAAATTTTTCAGATACCTATTATGTTCTAACGTTAACCTTTGCCACGATTCATTGAATACAATAAATAAACAACGGTGAACCCCGACGGAGATGACTGCTAGCACCAAATGAAGGTTAAGGATGAAATTGTCCTATGTTAGAAAGGTTAGGGATGCAAATGGAGTTTATCCAACAAAAATATCTCCAACCGCTCGTGACTAAACGACGGAAGCCATAAAAATCAAAGAGACAGCTAGGCATTAAGAAAGCGCCACGCACACCATTCCCGAACCACATCCGCTCACGGCGCACCCCTCCGCCCCTCTTCGATTGTACGCCAACGCTCGGAATCCGACACAGCACTCTTGCTTCATCTTCCTCACTTCAACTTTTTCCCAGGTAAACGTTTCTTTTTCTTTTATTCATGCTGGAATTATTTCTGCAGTCTTGCTAATTCGTTTGAAAAGTTAAGTTTCTTCTGTGTTTGTTTCTCTCTGGGAGAGGATTTTTATTATTTATTTATTTTTTTCAAATTCTTTCATGTTCTCTCTCCCTTGCTTGGATTGTTTGGACATGCTTAATTTTGCAATGAAGAGTTTGTGGGTTACTATTCCTTTATTCGTTCTTTTGATAAAAAATTGAGAATATATCCATCTTGGATAATCGTGTTTAGCAGTTCTTTACCATCTTAAACTGATTTTGGGATTAGATTTTAACTGGGTTGAGTAGACTGAAGCTGAAATTCATTCAATTAATTTGTTGGTTGCTAAACCCTGCTACTACGTACAAAGGAAACATCACCTTTCTTTAAACATTTTCCTGTTTCTGTATGCTTTTGCCTCGGTACATTTTCTCTTTGTATGTATCATCAATTTATTCACCATTCTACTTCGTCCTCGTACATTGCAGTTGCAGATGGCAGCACCATCAGCATGTCGAATAGGGAATAGTCTCTCAACCCACTTGACCAAACCAAACTTGAACAAGGTGTTCTGTGCTAGGAATATTTTTCTTCCCACAAGTTTCTCATATGGAGGCAAGAAATCAAATGTTGTCCTTGTACGGGCATCTCTAGAACAGGGGCATCATGAAGGAAGAAGGGGGTTTTTAAAGTTATTGCTTGGAAATGCTGGAATTGGCTTTCCTGCTTTGCTGGGAACTGGGAAAGCCTATGCTGATGACCAAGGGGTTTCTTCCTCTAGAATGTCTTATTCTAGATTTTTGGAGTATTTGGACAAGGATAGGGTTAAAAGGGTTGATTTGTTTGAAAATGGAACTATAGCTGTTGTTGAGGCTGTTTCTCCCAAGTTGGGTAATCTAATCGTATCCAACGAGTTCATGTGCAGTTGCCAGGACTCAGCCAGGAGCTTCTTCAGAAGTTCAGGGAGAAGAATATTGACTTTGCTGCTCATAATGCTCAAGAGGACTCTGGTTCTCTGTTATTCAATTTGATTGGAAACCTAGCATTCCCGCTAATTTTGATCGGTGCACTTTTCCTTCTTTCAAGGCGATCATCAGTAGGAATGGGTGGTCCAGGTGGGCCTGGGTTTCCCCTTGCCTTTGGTCAATCAAAGGCAAAGTTCCAAATGGAACCTAACACTGGTGTTACATTTGATGATGTTGCTGGAGTTGATGAGGCAAAGCAGGATTTTATGGAGGTTGTGGAGTTTCTGAAGAAGCCTGAGAGATTCACTGCAGTTGGGGCATGTATTCCGAAAGGTGTTCTTCTTGTTGGACCTCCTGGAACTGGGAAGACTCTTCTAGCCAAGGCAATTGCAGGTGAAGCTGGTGTTCCATTTTTCTCCATCTCGGGTTCTGAGTTTGTTGAGATGTTTGTTGGTGTTGGTGCTTCTCGAGTCCGGGATCTTTTCAAGAAGGCCAAGGAGAATGCACCTTGCATTGTCTTTGTGGATGAAATTGATGCTGTGGGACGGCAAAGAGGAACTGGTATCGGTGGAGGGAATGATGAAAGGGAGCAGACACTTAACCAGCTTTTGACAGAAATGGATGGATTTGAGGGTAACACTGGTATCATTGTTATCGCAGCAACTAACAGGGCAGACATTCTGGACTCTGCTTTATTGAGGCCAGGAAGGTTTGATAGACAGGTAAGACTAGATCCTCGAATTCTTACTGCTTTTATAATGTATAAAGAAATGCTAATATAGAGCTTAAATGCAGGTGACAGTGGATGTTCCAGACATAAGAGGCAGAACAGAGATACTAAAGGTTCATGCAAGCGATAAGAAGTTTGATGATGATGTGTCACTTGATGTGATAGCCATGAGAACACCTGGTTTTAGTGGAGCAGATCTTGCGAACCTCTTAAATGAGGCTGCCATATTGGCTGGTCGGAGGGGCAAGACAGCAATTTCATCTAAAGAGATTGATGATTCAATTGATAGGATTGTGGCTGGCATGGAGGGGACAGTCATGACAGATGGAAAGAGCAAAAGCTTGGTTGCATACCATGAAGTTGGCCATGCCATATGTGGGTAAGGAGCTAAAAGCCACTAATTTTCTAATGTTGTTTTCCTTTCCAACTGTGCTTCACCTACCTGTGTAAATATTTAAGTTGTTCGTAAGGTATTCTTTTATAGAACTGATGGGTGTTTGTCATGATAAAGTTTCTTTTAGATGGATAAAAATTCTAACCCCAAGCACATGTCATTCTTTGGTTCATGCCCCAAATACAATTGTGAGTTGCAGAGTTAAGAACCTAAGTATCTGCTTAGGTTGTCTTATTGCTAGCGGAAGGAGCATGAGTCATGCCATCTTGCAAAAGTTATCAAATTTTCAAAAATTTTCAAATTTAAGACAAAGTGCCTTTTCATTTGCTAGATTTGCTTAAAAGTTTTAGTCTTAAGATATTTGGATGGTAGAAAATTACTATTGTTATTTTGGTCCATTATGGGAAAAGGAAGTAAGCATGCTTAGCTATTCTGAAAATTTGAACCTTGTGACCTTGACCCAAGAGTCAAGGTTCTAAACTTAGTAGCACTTACTTGCCTAAGCTCTTGTTGTTAAAACTTAAAAGTTACACTGTTACTTCATGTCCATCCTCCAGTATGGACATGGATTTGTTATTGTCTTGGACAAAAATAGTATTGCTGAAAATATTTTCACGGTTATTGTCATAGGGTATAACTATTGGATGTTAGAATTTAGGTTCAAGTTCAGGCCACATGCACATGATTTGCAGGGACAATAATACTCATTGGCATAATAGTTTTAACAAGAAACTAAAGCAGACTTCATTTCCATGGAAATTTAACTGATTTGATTCCTTTCAAATTTATTTATAATGAATATTGTAGTTTGCTACTTTGCTTGCATGCAGCCCTGCTTGCCTTTTTGCTATAAATCTATCTTAGATCTATTATTTCACAATTCTTTTGGCTAAAACTAATCCCTGTTATCAATATTACCTGCTTGACTGCTGCTAATATGATAATTTGGAAAACTTATAAACTGCTGCACCTTATTTTTTTGTTCCAGAACACTGACTCCAGGGCATGATCCTGTTCAAAAAGTTACCCTGATTCCACGTGGGCAGGCACGTGGTCTCACTTGGTTCATTCCTTTGGATGACCCCACCCTGATCTCCAAACAGCAACTCTTTGCAAGAGTTGTTGGTGGACTTGGTGGCAGGGCTGCTGAGGAAGTCATATTTGGTGAGCCTGAGGTGACCACAGGAGCAGCTGGTGACTTACAGCAGATCACTTCTTTGGCTAAACAGGTGATCAAATTATTTTTTTCTACCTCAGCTAAATTTTGTCAGTTAACTCAGTGTAACCCCCTCTTTTTTGTGATTGCATATGGCTGTTTCATCTTGTTGGCTACAAAATGGTATTAACTTGGTTGTTACCCACTAACTTCTAAACCTTGATTCTAGAGTCAAGGTTGGGGTCCCAATCTTTGTAGTTTCTAGGACTCTTCTTGATGTAGGAAAATAACAACTTTCTTTGAGAAACTGGGTGGGGTTATTGCCACACCTTAGAGTGTTAATGGCACACCTGTAACACTTTTTTGGACTATTTTGCCCATTTCAATAATAATATGTAAAAAAATACTTTTCATTTTTGAGTTCTACCTTTATTGTGAGAATATAAATCTCGACCTTTAATGACTTGGACCAAATTTATTCGATAAATAAGTTTTAATATTATTTACAAATTGAATTTTAATCAATTAAAATTTTAATATATATGTAGAACTAATAATAAATTAATCATAAAATAAATAAATAAATAAAAAGAAACACTTCATCTCCTCTGTCTCTCACTTCTCTTTTTTGTTTTCTCCTCTCTAGAAATTAAATTTGGGTATTCTTTTATATTTGGAAAGATTAGAAGACACCACTGTTCGAGAATATTTAAACCCATCTACTCCATCACCGAGCCATCAACATATATAACTAGTAAAGAAAAAATGAATGGTGGTTTACCAACTATATTTGAAGCTTGCATTGAATTCTTGTTTCAAGAGGAAAAAATTGCAGAGATGAATAGGGAAGGACAGAGAAGATGGAGAAAATGAAGGAATTTTTCTTTTTCTTTTCTAGGATTAATTGTTTTTTTTTTTTTTTTTTACAATTTTAATTAATTGAGATTAAGAGTTAAATTAATATAGATTTATCATTTAAAGGGTTTGATTCTCTCTCTCTTTTTTTTCTTCTTCTAAGGTTTGAAATATGAAAGTAGTTTTGAAGAGGATATTATTGTAACGGGCAAAATTGTGGAAACAAGTGCTAAAGATCTATTAATGCTTTGGGTTGTGGCAATAGTGCCACCTGAGAAACTGGCACCCATTTGCTGTTAAATGAATGCTTGATTACCATTAAGCTGGTAGCCTTTCATGTTTTGATCAGCCTTCCTCACTCCATCCTCATATCGGAGTTCCTCTAGTGGTTTGGTTAGCTGCAATCAAAACATAGGTCATTAGAAGCTCCTTTTAGTTCCCACAAGTCTGGTGAGCCTTCTCTGGGCTACTTTCAGCTTCTCGTTAGTGAGCACTGATTGACCACCCCACTAGAGACCTTTTCCTTGAACTCTTGTTTTTGAAAAATGAAAATAGAAAAAGAAATGGAATGCTTATTCTCGTTCTGCCATCTTCTGGTAATGTCAATTAGTCCATGGTGTTTCAACTTTGTTCTCATAACCAGTAGCTATAATATTCCCTCGTTGCTTATTGCATTAACATGGTTCAGTGACGTGATTGTTAATAAATTGTCTGTAGATGGTGGTAACTTTTGGCATGTCTGACATTGGTCCATGGTCGCTTATGGATTCATCAGCTCAAAGTGCTGATGTGATCATGCGAATGATGGCAAGAAATTCAATGTCAGAAAAACTTGCAGAAGACATTGATGCTGCTGTCAAGAGGATATCAGACAGTGCATATGAGATTGCTTTGAGTGACATCAGGAACAACTGGGAAGCCATTGACAAGATTGTAGAAGTGCTCCTTGAGAAGGAGACAATGTCCGGAGATGAATTCAGAGCAATCCTATCAGAGTTTGTAGAAATCCCAGCAGAAAACCGGGTCCCTACTTCAGTACCCTCACCGGTCTCTGTTTAAGCAGAATCACATAACAAGATGCAAACATCATTTACTTTTGATCATACTTATTTTATTGGTTAAATGTATTATAGGTGTATTCGCTGATTACATGTAAGGAGGATAAGCGCTAGTTAGAATAAATTATCCCTCCTCCAGTACCCTCGTTGGTCTCTGTTGCAAATGTTGTATATTGAAATTGGGTATCAACCGAAATTGTAAATTTTGAGGAACCATTGAACGAAATGATGCCATTTCGGTGTCTACGCTCCTTCTCTCTTTTCTTCTTCGTCTTGGCTTGATTGAGTTGCAGGCAAATGTGTGACCTACTCATAGCATATCCCTTCTGCAGTAAGCACATTCATAACTTATCATCACATTCGTCAAACAAAGGAATTGGAAGATGAAACTTTTAATGTGGGACAAAATCAAAATAAAAGTGCAAACTTGTATTTAAGAGAGAGATTAGAGCAATCAAAGAGAGTGCAAGATGCAAGGGGAAAATCCAAAGAAAGAACAAGAAGGGAAAATCAAATAGAGAGAACACCCAGTAATCTGAGAGAAATCACAGATGAAAAAGACAAATTGCAAATGAATGACACTGAAATATTTTGTATTTGTGCGCTGAAAGGGATCAAATGGGGAAGAAAGATAAGAAAGCCAAAAATTAAAAATAAAAAAAAAAAAAAAAGTGAGCCCTAACTCCTACAAAGCCTGAACCCTTCTCCCGCTTTCTTCCCATTCGAACCTAGAACAATAGAACTCCCCCAGTTCCTCAGCAAGCATCCATAGAAAAAAAAAAGAGATTTTATTTTTAATTTTTCCTAATTCCCAATTCCTCATCTTGCCTTGCCTTCTTCATCATTCAATTCCTTCATCAATCAATTCTTCATCATCATCAAACCATAAAATCCACAGAACAAAAAAAAGAGATTTTTTTTTAAAATTTTTTGTTCTTGGGCTTGTTTGAACCTAGGCATCCAAGGAACCCAAGCGTCCTAGGTTCGAACGAACCTAGTGCCTAGGTTTGAAAGAACCCACGCCTGGGTTCCAAGGA